TTTTTTTTTTTTTTTTGAGGTAGAGTCTCACTCTGTTGCCCAGGCTGGAGCGCAGTGGTACTATCTCAGTTCACTGCAAGCTCTGCCTCCCAGGTTCACACCATTTTCCTGCCTCAGCCTCCCGAGTAGCTGGGACTACAGGCGCCCACCACCACGCCTGGCTAATTTTTTGTATTTTTGGTAGAGACAGGGTTTCACCATGTGAGCCAGGATGGTCTCAATCTCCTGACCTCGTGATCCGCCCGCCTTGGCCTCCCAAAGTGCTGGCATTATAGGTGTGAGCCATCGCGCCCTGCCAAAATATTCTTAATTAGTGGCCAACATTTTAAAATTTGGGTAATTCTGATTTTTAAAAGATATTTCTGGCTTTTCATGCAAAATCAGAGTTGTCAGGCTGACCATCAGGGAGATGATGGGATGGCACAGGATTTGAGGGTATGAGGTGGCGGCAGGGGAGGGGCTTGAGAGCTGTGGCATCAGCCTCACCCTGGAGCCAGAGCCAGGGTGTTGAGGGGCAGGGAGGGGGAGATCGGGGGTGGCTTCCTGGAGGAGGGAATGGTAGAGAGGGAGATGAGAGTGGGAATGGATTTAGGGTGTTTAAAACTGAGCCTGAATCTGGATAAGTTGACAGAGAATAGGCAGAGGGTGGCACTGATGAAGACAAAGGGAAGGTGATTCACTTTAAGGAAAAACAAAACAAAACAAAACATCCAGCACCTAACGTGTATCTGGCTCTGTTTTGGTTTTGAGGACCCAGCAGTGACCCAGCCAGGCTCAGGTCCCACCCTCCTGGGTCTCGCATGCTAGTAGGGACACACCCTCTTCCCCAGCGCTGATGACTTAGAGTGGTCAGGCTGTGGTGGGGGAACCCAGGGGGCTGAGGACACCCAGAGTTGGTGCATGGCCCAGACTGGGAGGTCACGGAGTGCTTCCTGGAGAAGGGGAAGTCAAAGCTGAAGCCATAGGGAAGAAAGGGAATTGAGAAAGAGCTGTACAAAGGGGAAAGGCTGAGGGTGGCAGAAGGGGGTGGTTCTGACAGTCAGCTGCTGCCTTCCCTTTCATCCCCCTCCCCAGGATGTCCTCCAGGCCCAGCTAGCCCCAGACTTCGACCCGATGCGGCTCACCCGCTGCCAGGCTGCCCTGGCGGCCGCCATCACCCTCAACCTTCTGGTCCTCTTCTACGTCTCCTGGCTGCAGCACCAGCCCAGGAATTCCCGGGCCCGGGGGCCCCGCCGTGCCTCTGC